GGGTTGGCTGCCTGGCTACTGTTTTGATGAGATGAAATATCCTGAGTTGGTTGGTAAGCTGCTAATATTAGCCTTAATGATTGATTGTTGTAGATGAAGACTATGACGTTAAAGGATAGGTTGACACTTCGTAAGTTATACGAATTGGGAATTGAGGTATGTAAGGCTATTTGATTTCCTATTTCTTTGGCATGAATCCAACACTTGTATTACAAAGTAAGCTTTCTAAGTGCCCTTGATAGTGACTGATCCATAGTTGCAGTTCCTACTCCCTAGAGCATCAAAGTGAGTACTCTAGTATAAGTTCATTACTAAATGTACGTGCTTACTCTGCCAAGTATTAGCATGGAAGGATTAAACTTGTTTCATCGTCAAAGTACCCTTGGCACATATTCCCCTTATACAAATCAAAATGATCCTAGATTACACATGGTACATATATTTATATGTTGGATATACGATCTACCCATATCTTGCCAGCTTGCTTCAATTGTCTATTCCATCATATATGTCATCTTTTCACATGTTCATATGTTCCCTTTATTGTTTATTACTCCCATTGTGTTAGACTATAATATTACCTCACAAGATCCCTACTTGCTCTATTGTACATTTTATATGTGCTTATTTTGGAATATGTATTTGTCCTTAAGTTAAATTTGTCCACGTTCTCCCTTGGTTCTACGTTTATGTATACCTTGTTTTTTATATTAGTTATTGAGTATTTGGCTATCATATAGAGTTCAAATCTCTTGGCTGAATGTTAAATGTCTTCACTTGATATGTGCTTCAATTTGAGATGTCAAAATGCTTACTGAGTCATAAAAGCTCTTAAGTATTACACGTTCATGTCACATTTGCTTCACATGTCATTGTTATTATCGTAATTCCATATGTCTTCTACTACTGGTCCATAGTTCCAAATCTCAACAATGATTATGACCACCAAAACAACAATCTCAAAAGACTTATGATCATCAAAAGAACAATCGCAAAAGAGTTATGATCATTAAAAGAACAATCTCAAAAGAGTTAAGATCATCAAAAGAACAATCTCAAAAGAGTTATGAACATCAAAACAATAATCTCAAAGATTAAAAAATCTAAGTGAAGCAATCTGTATAATTATGGGTGGCAGCCCAGGGGCAAATGCCTAGCATGGGTCGATTCCAAATGGTATAGAAGGGTGGCAGCTCAAGGGTGAAAGCCTAGCATGGGCCGATCCCAATTGGTATAGAAGGGTGGCAGCTCAGGGGCGAAAGCCTAGCATGGACCAATCCCAGTTTGTGGAATTATGAGGACAGCATCCCAAGGGTTTAAATGTCTAGCATGGGTCATCCTCTTCTACCACTGATCAGCTGGTCATTTGTATCATATGTCTTATAAATATTATAATGCATAGAAAAGTAAAGAAAAGAATGTAACATACACGATTCCACAAGTATAAGCAGAGGTGGTCTCTAATCTTTATCTATTGGTATTTGATTTCACTTGAGCTCTCATTTTACATATGGTTGTATTATGCCTTACATATTCAGTACATTCTTTTATACTGACGTCCCTTATTAGGGATGCTTCATTTCATGTTGCAGGTACATGTACTCAACTAGTAGATACTCAACAGTTGTTGGTGAGCTCCAAGTTGATTCGGGGCTTTGCCGAGTCTTTACTATGTGTATTTTCATAGTGGTACAGTCATGGATTCCAGTAGAGGCTTTATAGACATTGTAAAGCTATCATCTGTATTCATAGTTTCACTTGTCACATGTATCGGTTTAGCTAGTCAACATGTGTTATATGTGAATCTTCTCATTAGTAAATCTATCTGCATAGTAGTTTAGTTTTTCATTATAGGTCACTTATAAAACATGTGTTCATATTGTACTTGTCTGCCTCACCTAGGTTGGGGTGTGACAGTTTCTAAGCCTTCTAAAAACAAAAAAAAGAAAGGCTGAAGAAGTTTCAAGACCTTCAAAAAAGAAAAAAATTGTAGTTGAAGAACCTAAGTCTAACTAGAATTCTAATACGATGGTTGAAATCGACAACTATGAGGACAGTAGTGCCTAGGCTATTGATGATGTTGAGTCTAGTGAAGAAAACACTAACAGTGGAGATGAGGAGAGTAGTAGAGATAGCCGAGATACTGGAGATGAGGATGATGATCCACTGTCCTTGCCAACTTGTGCAAGAGTGATCTCTGGTAAGTCCTATAATCTAACTACATGTATGGATGAGTTAGGATCTTTTCTAGCCAAAATTTTCGTGAGAGAAAGAATGACTCTTTATCGTGATTTATGTTTTAGTTCAAGAAAAAAATTATAATGACTTTAAAGATACTTGTTTTGGACATTTAAGATATATTCCAGAACATTACAAGTTCAATGGACAAATGGTCCATTACATGCTGTTGTGTTGTGTAAAAAATGATAAAAAAATAAAATTGCATGAGATCTATGTGATTTTGTGTGAATGATAAGCCTGCTTATTTTGGCTTAAAAGAGTTTGCACTGATTACGGAGCTCAATGGTGAGCTAAATGGTGATGAGTAAGGTATTTATGATATTGGTTTATTAAGACAACTGATTTTTGAAGTTGGTTTAAGACAATTGATTTTTGAAATGGTTGGTTTTTTGTGTTGATGATAAGACAATTAGTTTTTAAGATAATTAGTTTTTGGTGGTTGAATATTAAGACAATTGGTTTTTGAAGTGGGTAGATGATTAAGACAGTTGGTTTTTTAAATGGTTGATTTTTTGTGGTTGATGATTAAGACAATTGGATCATGTAAATGTTATTTTTATTTTGATGGATATCGTTGCCAGTTATGGACTTTAAATTGTATATATAATGCATTGTCCTACCAATTCCAAAAAAGACTTCATTTTATTAATAGATTGTACTACTACATGAGTAAAAGATATAAGATTGTACACTACTGCATCCCTGTTACACATTTCCAAAAAGCAACCACTAACAACAAACCATACAATATAATTTTTAGGCCTTTCTCTTTTTCTTCAGCCAATATTAACTTTTGTTTTAGTTGATCCCTATTTTTTTCGGTGTCTTTTAGCAATCCTTTAAAGTGATCTTTCTACTCTTCGGCCTCTTTGAATAAACTCAATAGCAAATCCCTATTTTTTTCGAAGTTTTGAAGCCTTTCTAATGTTTGAAATTTGGTAAAGCCTTGAAAATTTGATGTCTCGAGTTCCAGACTCAATTTTGATGGGATGCTCGTTGATGAATCATTTTCAAGCCACTTAAAAAAAGAACATGCACCAATTGCACAGTTCAAGAATTTTCGACCTGGGTTCGTATCGATGTGTGATGTCCTCAACATAGCTAAATTACCACAACGACAAACGTAAGATCTTTTTGTATTGAATCTTTGAGATACTTGAGACATAATAAAAAGAGATGTTTAAGTATTATAAAATAGAATAGGATGGAAGAGTTCATGAATTCTTCTTTTTATACACTACAAAAAAAATGTTACCATTGAAAAGTAGCAATTTGTACTTTGTTACCATTGGAAAACTTGGATAATTGAGTATTGTCACTATTGGTAAAAATATATAGATAATTAAGACAGTCGATATTTTTTCATGTGCTTGGTTTAGATTGTACCAACGACATCTACACTTCAACACTAATAAGGTATATACGGGTTGATATCATGATCCATAAATGATCTATACTGCACCTACTAGAGTATGACGCTTAAACAAGTAATGTAAGGGTCCACATACATTGCGGGTGCAGATAAATGATGTATGAGAAACGGTTGTAGTTATACAATGAACATCTTCAAACTAATGTGTGAAGAAAGCACAAGTATGAATGAGGAATAGTTATGTGTGGTTATACAATCAACATCTTTACAACATAAGCATGTGATCATGTATGAGTCCATATAAATTGGGGTGACAATCAACAATGTGTGGTTGAAAAAGTGACACCCTCACAACATACTTATGTTTTCTCAAACATTGTTCTAAGGATGTTGATTGTATAACCACAACTCTTCCTCATACATCACTAATCACCACACCCAATTTATATGGACTCTTACATGATCACATGACTTGTTTAAACTTATTTAATTGGATAAATTTCAAATATATAATTTATTATTAATTATGCTGTCTTTTTTAAATTCTACTAGTTTTGGTCTATATATAAGTGTCAGATTTTAGTTGGTGCAGTATCGACAATGCGTTAACATAGATATAAATCTGAATATACCTTACTAATGTCAGAGTGTAAATCTCATATGTCATACATACACCTTACACATATAGATGTATCGATTGTATAAAGAGTTTATATATTTTGATAACCAGTAAATATTTAGACATACAAATTTTACAACGATAAAAAAAGTTCAAATTGCAACTTTTTTTAATGGTAACATCTATATTTTTTACAATTCATTAAGGATTCGTTTGGTAGAGTGTATATGCAAATAATGCTTGTATTAGTTATAGTTGAATTAGTTATACTTGGATTATTTCTTAAGCATTGTTCGATTTGGTGCATTAAAAATAGTCACAAATATCATTCTAATTCATTCTAATTCTAATTTTTAATCATATTCTAATTCATGCATTAGAATCATTGCATTACAAATACCATGAATTTTCATATATTAATAATACACAGCTTATAGACAGTGTACAAAATGTATGTCATCTTTTGATTGATCTATATTAGATCATGAGTAATTACGATAATAGATGACAATAAATTGACCAAAATGCTGGCAGTAGCTTGATTACAGTAGCAAAAAAAAAAAAAAAACAGTAGCTTGATTACAAAAATAAATTCAATCAAGCTTGTTTACGATTTGTTGTTGTTCACACATGTAGTTATGTTGTGTATGGTTCTCTTACAAATTGAACATTTGTTCCTTCTCTTGCTCTTGAAATTCTCACCAATGCGTTTGACACATTTTCTTCTTTTTCTTCCAAGCTTGGTATCGACAAGAGGCGGAAGAATCTTCACACTAAGCGCAATTCTTCTGGAACACACCATTCCGACTCGAGAGGGACAACATTAATAGAATCAATGTATGCAAAGAGGTACGCAGCTTCAACTTTATACAAAGGCGAAGAGTACTCATAGATGCTCATACCATACTCATTGCCATGCTTCGATCGCAAAGCGGCCATCGCGTGAGCACAAGGTATCTTGATCAAGTCATATTCCCTACGTGAACATGACTTTTCCAGTAGGTCCACATAGACAGTAACACCCGCACCGAACACGGTAAATTTATTGCCATCCCTGGTTACATTCTTCACATACAAGGAGTCGCCCTCAATCATTTTTTTCTTGCAATTTTTCGGCTGCCGGTAACATTTGATTACCCATTGATTTGAGGATATATGCATGCCTCTCCCTAAACAATTCTCCAAACCTCTTAGCAATCGAATTAAATATAGATGTCACGGGATACTCTCTTTCGTCTATCAACATCGCATTGAGTGACTCGACGATATTTGTGGTCATAACATCATATCTATTGCCAGGAAAATGTGTCCTACTCCACTTCTCAAAACCAATATCATGCTCAAGGACGACAGCTGCAACGGGCCATTTGTTCTTGAATTCTACAAAATAAATGTCAAACTCCTCCAAAGAATAAGTCTTTGCCGCATTATAGTAAAGATAAAGATAATCTGCATAATGATGATTTACACGAAGATTTTTATCGAGGTTCATTATACAATATCCGTGGTGAGCATGATTGTAAACGTTCACAATACCGTTGGCGATACTCTTGTGTCTATCGGAGATAAAACACAAATCTGGTTCATCGACCACAATCTCCTTCAATTTCTCAAAGAAGAATGTCCTAGATGCATCATTCTCTTTGTCCACGACACAAAAAACAATCGAATAAACATGATTCTCCGTATCTTGTGCAACAATGCTCAACAACACGCCCTCGTAATTACCATGTAAATGAGTGCCATCAACCGCAATTACCTTTCTCATGTGAGAAAATCCCTTAATGCAAGCACCAAAGGATAAGAAATAATACATGAACCTATGACTATCCTCGTTTACCATCAGACAATAACTAGAACCAACATTAAGTGTCTCGAACATGTAAGAAAAAGCTTGTAAGCATGAATATTTGTTCTCCGCTGTCCCTCGGACCATTTCATTAGCAACCACACCACCCTTCCAACATTTCCAATAGCTTAGACTACAATGAAAATAATTAAACAAAGCTCTTTGAATCTCGTTAACATTTGGACCCTTGTCATCACGATACATATTTACACAAAGTGAAGTAATGACTTTGATTGAAATTTTTCTATGGCTACTATTGGCATGTTCAACGCCACAGCTATTTTCGCCAATGTACTTATAAATATGAAATCTATCCAAACACTCATATTTCCTTGCCTGCAACATCCATGCACAATTGAGAGATACACATTTCACCTTTAAGTATTTAGTACAACTCTTCGCAGTAGCAAAATCAAAAGACTTTTATGCCGCCGCTTCGGCTAATAACAATTGCAACTCATTCTTGTTACTGAAAATTTGATTTATACATAAATTAGTTCCATCGGAGAAGGAATGATTGGATTGTGATCCTAATTCCTTTTGTACCTGCATTTCTTCACAACATTTGGGTTCGGGGTCTTCCGCATCTACTGGTTGATTTTCCACATTAGTTGGATCATCATGTATATTCATTGAATGATCACCCAAACTCTCATTTAAATTATCACCCAAGCTCTCCTTTGAATGATCACCCAATCTTTCATTTCCAATCGAATCATTGTCGTCGTTAAATGAATTCGTTGGTTCAATTGGAGGCCTCACATTAACGTTTATCCTCAATGTAGGCCTAAAGCCATCAATACCAATATCTAACATGTACAAGCTCACATGCATATCATTTTTTATGAATGTGGGATGTATTTTTCCCCTTCCATTCATTTGATAGCTATCACCAAGTCATTTGGCTTGCAAGTTAACTCATCGGCCTCAATTACGCTTGCAATCATATTGTCATATGAACCATTGCGACGCAACGCAGTGGGCATTGTCATCTTACTAAAAGATTTTCAATTTCAACTTTTGGGACTCTCCTCCCATACATATAATCACCACCAGCAACAACAAATTTAGTTATTGTCATTATAGACTACAAAGATATATACTAGATTATAGTATCAGTCGTTAACGATCGATGAAGTCTGACATCCGTACAGAAACGCGATTGAATGAGATCGTCGTTCAAAATGCAGCTCCTGCAATGGCGAAACAAATTTTTAATGCTTTTAAACTACTAAAATTTATTTATAATGAGTTATCAGGTGTTTATTATGGAAGATTTCTCAAATTTCTAAAATGGCGGGAAAATCATTTTGAAGCTTGATTTTTGAAAAATAAATGGAGTAAACATGACTATGGAGTAGAAGATGATGATGATTTCACCTTGAAAATAGATATTTTGGCCGAAAAACTCGCCGGAATCGTCAGTTTCGACAGCAGCAAAACGAGTTGCTCTTCTTTCACGTTTGTTTGGCTCTTTCTTCTTTTTTTTTCTAATATAATTTTTAACAAATGCAAATAGATATATATTATTCCAAATTAGTTGGAAAAGAAGGGGGACCAAAGTGGAGATATGAAAACTTAGTGAGGTCTTTTGTATGTGCCAATTAGGGCATGTGAATGATGTCATTAATAGTGGGTATACCACAAATTATTCAAGCCTATTATCTTAATGTTCAATTAAGTTTTGAGAGTGACTATTTTGCCAACTCTCCCCACGCCACGTAAGTTAAAAGGTCTACAAAATTACAAAAAAATGAGTTCAACGGTATAGGATCTTAGTTAATTAAGGTGTATCTCTAAAATTTCGATCATAATCAAGGATACTTGTGCTTTAACCCTAATTTTAAAATTTTAACTTCTTCGATGTGCATATCCAACGAGCAAAAATACAAGATTAGATAACCATTTCTCTACCAATTTTTGGAGAATCCATCTGCATACATGGGTGGTTTCTGAGTTCACGTGAAGTTATGATTTCCTCCTAAATCCTCTATAGTAATATCATATTCTTTTAAAAATATTTAAATATCATTCTCTCAATTCTGAGTTCTGATCATGTGTTATAGCAATGTATTTTTTTATTTTTATTTTGTTTGGTTTATTCTTTCAATAATTTGACACAATATTGAATTTTTTGTTACCCAGTTTTCACTGAAGATGCTTATACAATTGATACAAAATGTATATACTAAAACTAATTGTAGTTGATGATGTAGCATATAGTATAATGTATTCAATCGATACCAACATTTTCGAAACGATCAATAAGTAAGATGTCAAATATAACTATTAGGGTAAATTATATAAATCTCATAGTTTTAATATGAAATTACAATCTATTCCTAATAAGTTTCTAATTACATTAATTCCTTAGAGATTAAAAAAATCGGATACAATAATTGAAGCTCGGATACATTAATATGTAACTCGGATACATTAAATACTGTCTCGGATACATTAATATGTAGCTCGAATACATTAAAAACTAGCTCGGATACATAATATGTAGCTCGGATACATTAATATGTAGCTCAGATACATCATTATGTAGCTCGGATACATTAAATACTGGCTCGGATACATTAATATACAACTAGAATACATTAAAGAAATAAGAAATTTTGGAAATTTTTAAAAGTAATTGGGGATAACAAAAATAAGTAAACAAAATGTGTGTATTTCTGTAATTTGTCCTAACTATTTTAAGTAATAAGATTGCACCAATAATCAATTAGAGAAGTGCTCATTTTGCTGCGGTTTATTTGGGAGGGTTACATGACCTCCGCAAAAATATATTAAATGTTTGGGCTAGCTGACGCTATCAAAATACAGTCGTCACAATTGCAGTTTTTTAAACAAAAAATTATGTAAATACATTTTATCATATTTTTAAAAAAAATTACCATTTGAAAAAATGATAAAAATTCATACTCTCTCCTATTCTCGTACGTATACATCACTTTACATGAGTATCGAGATGTACACGATATATCGAGACGTTGAGTGATGTATTTGAAACCGAGATGCGATATATCGGGATGTTGAATGATGTATCCAAAACCGGGACGCGATGTATTGAGCCGTTTTGGGATGTATCCGAATTCTACCAAATTCAAGAGATTTTGTAATTTGGAAAAGAGTAAGAATATGATGTAATTAGCTCTTAAAACTATGAGATTTGTGTAAAATTCCCCTTTTTTAACCACCATTAATAAACAAATTCGGCTATTTTATCACACAACCTTTTCAAATAAAATCATTAAATAAGTGAATTTACGTTTTGCGGGAGTTATGACATCACAATATGTAAATTCGACCTATGAAAATAGAATATTTTTTATAGGGAGTGTTTCCCTTTGAATTAGACCTTACGTAACGTGAATTCAGAGTCCAATATACAAATATCAGACACTAAATAAAAAATTAAAAAATAATAATAATATTTTCTTATAGTGAATTACAAATGGATAATGAGTTTATTCGTAAGAAATCACCCATTTCTTTGTAACAGTACACTCATTTTCTTGAAATCCTAAATTTATCTTTTAGCTTGACATGAAATTCATTCTTAATTTTATTTTGGCGCAGACTATTTTGTTCCCAGAAATCAACATATAATGAGTATAATATAGATAAGCCATACCTTATTTAATTTTGCAGAGAACAATAATTGTTTTATTTAATTTGGTGTACATAAGGCTGTCAACGTCAACCAATGCATGTTTGTACCCCAATAATTTAAATTCAAGCCTCCCTCCCCTAATTTAAAATTAGAAATATAACGTAATGATGACAAAAATATTCCAAAAAGTTGAAATAGTCATAAATTTTTTTGAAAATACTGTTGTATATAAATAAGGGTTATGCGTTTGTTACAACCACTTCAATGATTAAAAGATAGACGTGCCAGCCCATAGTTTTAATTTCCTTTTATGCATATCCTACCTCCTTATTTATTCTTCATCCTAATCCACCAACCAACCACACACCAAATTTTGGCTTAATATTAAAGATTTTTTTAATAACTAGCTCTATTTTCGATTGAATTCATAAATGTAATGAGAATATTAGGAACGAAAACATGTATGGATTCTTAGTCATTTATCGAAATTTAATTATTTTAAACTGGAATAAAAGAGGATAGAAAAACAAAAAAGAAATTGAATATTGAAAGAGGATGGAATACCTAACCATTCAAGGAAATTTGTGTGGTTGTTGAGTAATAAAATTGTTACAAAGGATATTGTTAAATGGTAATTGAATTTTTTCACTCTAAATTAGAGTTAGGTGCTAAAATTTCTTTCTACGACGTGAATCTGAACTATTCAGGCCAATTCTAACACAAATGTTTTTAAAAATACTTTTAAAATTTCAAATTCTACTATGTTTTTTATTCCTTCAGTTTTCACATACTCTAATCGTTAGCTTTATTAATATTTTAATGATCATACTAACCCTAAATGATCTGCACAAAGAAACATAAACATAGAGGAAGCATTCCAGATTCATATTGTTTCCATGAATAATAGATAACACATACGTTTATGCTAGAACACGTATGATCATATTAGAACACATAAACTTGCTGAAATTTATTTCAAGAAGCAGAGTCAAGCCCTTAAGAAAGGATTACTTTTAAAACAAGCAAAGTTGGGTTAAGAAAGGGTTGCTTTAAAGGCAAGATTGATACAAGACTGATGAACAGATTGTTGAGCTGGCAAGTTGGTTAAAACTATCATTTAGATAGTTAGTTATATTGTTAAACTAGTTAGTTACCCAGCTCCCGCCTAATGGAATAGTATATAATTGTGTTGTAATAGTATATAAGGATCTCAAGTGTAATAGTATCATTCATTGATTGACATGATAACAATTCTCTTCTCCTTTCTACTATTTCTCTCTCAAATCTAAACACTCAAAACTCCCCTGTTTTAACCATCCTCTTCTTCGAACTACTGTTCCTAGATTAACAATATCCACCCGATTACTGATTGCCGTTGTTTGTGCATCAATTGGTATCAGAGCAAGGCTATCCTCAACACGACTATGACCAGAAGCAAGAATCAAGAAAGACCTATGGAAGATATGGATGCTAGACTTCTGCAAATTCAGGATCAATTGCAGAAAGTGATGGAAGGTATGACTAGTATTAACGATCGTAATACGCAAACAGATAAAGAGTTGATCAAAATCAAGGAGGCGATTGGATACATGAATACTTGAGGAAGAGAACGAGAACCAAATAGAGTAGAATCTTCAAATGCAGAGGGTGTTCGATAGAATGCCCATATGAGAGTCGACCTAGAGAAATGCATAATGGAGTTTCTCCTACTGGTAATTTCTATACTCAATATTCACGATTGGAATTTCCTAAATTTTCTGGATTTGATTTGAGAACTTGGATGTATAAAGTAGACCAATTCTTTGTTATGGATGAAGTTCCTTTTGATCAAAGGGTAAGGGTAACTTCCATCCAATTAGAAGGGGAAGCCATTGCTTGGCATAGGTCCTATCTAAAGTCTAGGAATTCAGTTCCGGATCCTACATGGACTAATGTGTGCTAGCTTTGAGTGAGAGGTTTGGGGAAGGGTTTGAAGACCCAATGGAGGAGCTCAACAATCTGTAGCAAACTAGCACTGTTAAGGAATACCAGACTGAATTTGACAGACTACTAACTGGGGTGAAATCTGTCAAGTGAAAATACAATAAATTGTTTTTAGGGGGTTTGAACCCAAAGTTAAAAAAAAATCTGTAAGAATTAGAACCCAAGAACGTTAATGCAAGCCTATAAAATTACTAGATTGCAGGAAGGTGTCTTTGAAGCTCATGCTCAGTCTTGGGGTTTGAAGACCAATAACAAAACCCAATATGCCATTCTATCTACTCCAACCACTTTTAAACCTCAAAAATTTCAGAAGCCTTTCATATCAAACCCCACATTCAGGAAGCCTTTTGAACCAAATGGGAGTAGAGTTAACATGTTCAATGGAAATAACCCTGGAAGGAGGTTAACTGCAGCAGAAATGGATGGAAAGAGGGCTAAAGGGTTATGCTTTTCTTGTGATGAAAAGTACGTGGTTGGCCACATCTGTAAAGAAAAGAAACAAATCTTTCTGGTGGATGTAACTGAAGATGAGGAAGAATTTGAATTGGTGGAGTTAGATCAAGGTGTTAGGGAGGAGACAAATGAATTCATGACCATATCTTTGCAAGCATTTACGGGAGTTACGGTAATTGGTTATCATGAAAAAAGGCCATTACAAGTACTGATTGATACCGAAAGTACCCATAACTTCGAGCCTCTTACAATTGTATATTGTCTTGGGTACACATCTTAAGGATCTTCTTCATCTAATAACTTAGCAACAATTCATCAATTTCATTTAAGGATCACATATACCATACTAGAACCATCACACTTGTTGTAGGCTAACACATTAAGTTCTCTTATACGTTACGTCAAGCCTACTAGGTCAAATCTCAAAACTAACATTAGTATCCTCATAATGCCATCCTTTATATCGCAATGCTCATCTAGAATTAAAGCTTAGTATCTAGTAATAAACATGGATAACAACCACTTCTCAGATACTACACTAACATACAACTAGTAGCTAAAATCAATAAAACACTAGTCCACTAAAATTTCAAGACAAAATAGTCGATCTTTGTCTCATAGTCTATCTAATTACAGCCTATCAATACATTTTCTTTCAAAACCTAAGTACTATTTATCAATTTATTATACATTTTTTCCTAATAAGTTCATAATCATGTGAATTTCATGTTGCTCTCCCGTCAAAACCACAAAGGTATAACTAGATCTGTCAACTCTTGACTACTTTGTCCTTCTGATCCAAACTTATACTTGAATTTTACTGACAAATGACACATCATCGTAAACTCCTTTTTCTGGTTCAAGTATACTCTAACGCATTCTAACCAACAACTCTTTCTCAATGTTCTACAATGAAATCTACACAAAACTTATTACTCATTAGCCAATATATAATGAAATATAACCTCATTAATGACTTACCAGATACATGACTAAAACTACATGTTTTACTCAATAACTATCCCTACTATTTAGGTTACTACACTTCAAAGTTTATACTTCTAACTCTAGGAACTTCTATAATTAATGGCTCATAACATCACAAATCACACTATCTTTCGGATGAAATAGTATCCAAGAGTTCTAAAACATACTTTCTTCGTATGGGTATCATGTGAAATAAAGTTTAGAGAAGAGAGTATGAGAACACATCTTTCTTTGGCTCAAATGTACGATTTATTAGAATAATGATGTATTCTTTTGAATCAATAAACTTAAGCACACTAATGAGCTCTTCTCCAGCCTTTGTGCAGTCTCTTTACTTTCTGATAGCTTTATCCGAGAGAAACTCATCGATAAGAATATGAGATTTACTATTTCTACCACATTAAGTATGAAGAGTAGTCGAATAGATTTGAGCAATGCACGAATATGAATAAGTTTTTTATGGCACAAGTCTATTGCACGATCTAAAGTATGAAAGAATATAAAAATTTCTGAAATGTCGCGTAGCCTCCTGATTATAAGTGTGGTGTACAACACACTTATAAGTAAGACTGTACTAGACATGACTTTATAAACACCCTATAAAACTTGAACTTTGTTCTCTAATACGAAGTTTGTCACGTCCCGAGCCTACACCCTGGGTGTCCCCAACACTCAGAATCATTTCTGATCCTAAGTGAACCCTTGGCCTGACTTACTACTAAATTAAAGACTAAACAAATATGTGAAAGATTTTTAGAGGTGGACATGAAACTACTATATAAAATAACTTCAATCATTTTTAAATAATAAATCTTAAATAAGAGATGTTGATAAAACTACTAATAATAAGACTCAACTGACTCTTCTATGAAGCCTCTAAACTAAAGATGGATTACCCGGACAAGATCCCAGGTTACCTGAATACTAAACTAACAATATCTAATAACTATTTATACTCTAGATAAACTGAAGCCATCCGAAACATAGGAGGTATCGCCAAAGCTAGATGAAAGTGATTATACAGATACGTCTATTATCGATTCTGAATACCTAAATCTACATCTTTAAAAGATGCAACGTCAAATGACGTCAGTACATGTAATGTACGGTATATAAAATAGATGAATAAAATAATTGGCTAAAACATAACATATTAAACTAAATGAATAACATTGAAGATAGATTGAAATAAAGTCAACTGAATAGTTAGCTATGTGTACTTTAACACAAAACTTTATGACTGAAAATATGCATAATAGTAAATACTGAAAATAATATAATTTTATTTTTCTTGGGGTGTTTCTCTAACCGACAACCATCACGTTGAGAATTATGATGATACAACGTCTTGCCCACGTTGCGAAATCCATCATATACTTTGTCAGGATATAGGACGAACTTAATTAATGGATCCAATCTTTGAGACTTCACTAGGAGCTATCTTAGGAGTCGCCTGAATCAACCACACAATCTTATACTACACTGGCGGTGCGGTTATGGGGTTAGAATTATCTGAACCCTTATCCCACTCGGTATTCAATACTACTTACAAAACAATGCATTAATGCTCAATAACTGTATGATGTTCCATCTAGGGAAAAGGTCCCACTTTAGGGGGGAAATTGATAACCTGATACTCTGAGTCTATGTTCAATAATGTTTTTTTAAATCGGGACTGATCTGAATTGAATCATACTTTAATACTTAACTATACTTTTAAGAAAAACATATGACTATGCTTTCTCAAAACAGAGGTGTGCTTTCTTTAGAGAATTACTATCTAAACTTTCTTTATGAAAATATGTATCTTCAATACAAAATATACTTTCTTATACTCTTTCTTGAAATAATGCACTTGACGTTTAAATTAAGAATATTTTCTTGAAATACTTCTCGATAATTGATGAGTCCAAGATTTGGACTCATTTAGGGCTTATTTATAATGATTTAGTATCCTCAAATGCTTGTTTTGTGCCAATAACTTATGTAAAATCCTTGATTTCAGGTATATGGATTGAAGAACGAAGCATGGACACTAATGTGCAAAAAGGAACAAAGCAGCTGAAAGAACGAAGAAAAGAAGGCCTGGTGATCGCCAAGTCCATTGGGCAAATCGCCTAATGACCAATATCTCGCCTAAAGTTCCAGTGTGCCAAGCCCAAGCCCTGAAGGAGAAAATCAAGTTGGCGAGAGAAAAGAGCAGTCGACGTGTCACCGAGTGGTTTCACGATGCAGTGTTGGATCGCCCAAAGTTATAGAACTTGAGGAAGCTGAAGGCCAAAGAAAAAAGGCGATGGAACTGAACAAAGGGCGGATCACGGAGTTGATCGGCGAGCCCGACTTACTGCCCCGAATGGTCTTTCACAACATATTTTTGGCGACTGTAAATACGTTTTCAAACATTTTAGTTTAATATCTTTTACATATCAAATTTTATTCTAAACATTCATTAGAGTAATTTTCAATTTTGAACTCTGAGTATTGAGACAAATTTTCCTTAGCTTTGAAGAATTGAAGTTTTCCATTTTTGAGAAATTGGAAGTGGGTCTTTCAGATTCTTCATTTAGTTGGGTTATTATACTAACTAATTAACGAGCATTGACACTTAGAATTGGATGAAATGTCCTGATACGTGAAATCAATAATCTCTAGTTAAAAAGGGATCATGTGGTAGAATAGCACGAGTCCGAAATCAATCAGGGATCATCATCAAGCTATAGTATAATAAATTCAATAACAAAATCAATGAACACATTAAAAATAAAGAAATTCAAAAATCATGGACTTTGAATAAAAACCCTAGATTTGATCTAATTGAAATGTTAGATGTAGGGCGTGAGGAATAACTTAGTTCCTCCCTATGATAGCGTTACATACCTTATACGCTCCAAGTTCTTGAGAAATGTGAGATTTTTGGAGGAAAAGATGACACCTTAGAGGTGGATTTTCTTAAAAAACCTATGAATTCCATGAGCAGAAGATATCAATTGGTAAGATGAAGAAATTATGAAATTCAACGATCAAACTTTACCCTGGATAATGGATGAACCTTGGAGGAAGTTAGTTTTTTAAAACTTCACTTTCTAGGATAAATTTTGAACCTGGGAGGTGAACTACGGTATGACTTTGGGAGTTATTTAAGATGCTATTGAGGCGAACTATCATGCATAAAACGTGTTAGGCGCACATGAAAGCAGTAGTAGCTGCTTCGATGTGCTATCGCGCAGAAAATGCCCAGACACGCAGTGAGACAGTGTCTAATAAAATGGG